GCGCGCTTGTAGCAAGTGTGGATAGAGCCCTGCCCATACCTTTGTTTGCAAAGCCTAGCCATGATGATGATGATAATTTGGGGTTTTATGACTATATAATGTAATGATATAGTTATGTAGTATGTATTATGTTATGAGCATATGTGTTGTGGGACATTTTTTGAACTGCTAAGACACTTTACAACTTTTTCCCATCACTTCAAAGAGGGCAGCTGGGCTTTGCAGTTAGGCTCATTAACAGTGCGACGTGGTGGCACGAGCATCTCTCTGAAGAGAATGTAGAGTTCCTCAAGAAGGCAACTGCGGAGGAATACAAAGCTCAGACAGCCAGCAAGCTTTGCCCTCTGAAAGACGAGCCGTGGCCGCTGAACGAGTGGAAACCAGGTGAGAAATTATCTGATCTGAAATACCAAACTCATGCTTAAATTATTGTTGTTTTGCTGTTGTATTCAGTAGTGTCAGGATTTTGTGTTGTGCTTTCCTTTTTGCTTTTACCTCAGTCATTCAGTATGTCTAGGAAAGAAGTGAATGTAATGCACTAGTTCTCAAAAAAGTGTTGAAAATACTACAAAGTGTTAAAAACCTTGTACGAATTAAGAGCTTTGTCCAAGCTAGCACTTGGTTAGTCCTACTGCTGTGCAATAATAATAAATTAAGAATTAATCAGAAAAGACTCACTAAAACATACAGTATATGAACTTGAAAATATTATTGTAAATATGCTGCAGTACGTAATAGATGCAGCTTCTGTTCAGTGATTCATAGAATCATGGAATATTTCAAGTTGGGAGGAACCTACTACAATAAACTCTTCAGTAGTAAGATTGGCTCTAGTGAAATGAGCTATATGGCTGTTGGATTTTCCTAAATTAAAAAAATCTGAAGCATTGCTTGTTTGGAACTTAATGGGGAACTGTTTTGCATATTCTATCAAACTCAGCTGGAGTAGATAGACCCTAACTTATCGTGTGATTAAAACTGATGAACAGGTGATTACCAGCCTACCTGCAGGGAGTCAGTGGTATTTTCTCTTCAGCTCATTAGGGAAGTTCTCATCACCAGCTGAGATGAGCTCTTCCCAATACTGAGTGTGGAGTTGCCTCCCTGTTCTCTTTCAATCTACAGATTCCATGAGAGTTGGAGTTGTCGCAGTAAAACTGGGAATGATGCCCATGTGGACCAAGTCAGGAACAAAACATGCTGTCACGCTGCTTAAGGTGAGATAAATGGTTGTGAACTCAATCTCCTGTATTGTATTCACCTTGTTAACAGGAAGCTTCAGGCAACTACAGGGAGGAGTGTCTGACACACCAGAAGGCTGTGCTGCCATTCAGAGAGACCTAGACAGCCTGGAAGGCTGGGCAGGGAGAAATCTTATGAAATTCAACAAGGGCAAGTGTAGAGTTTTGTACCTGGGAAAGAATAACCCCATGTGCCAGTGTAGGTTGGGGACTGACCTGCTAGAGAGCAGCATAGACGAAAGGGACCTGGGGGTTCTGGTGGACAGCAGGATGACCATGAGCCAGCAATTTGGCCAAGAAGGCCAATGGCATCCTGGGGTGTATTAGAAGGGAAGTAGCTGGTAGGTTGGGAGAGGTCCTCCTGCTCCTCTACTCTGCCCTGGTGAGGCCACATCTGGAACACTGTGTCCAGTTCTGGGCCCCTCAGCTCAAGAGAGACAGGGAACTGCTTGAGAGAGTCCAGCGCAGAGCAACAAAGATGGTGAAGGGAGTGGAACAGCTTCCTGATGAGGAAAGGCTGAAGGAGCTGGGTCTCTAGCTTGGAGAAGAGGAGGCAGAGGGGTGACCTCATTAATCTTTGTAAATATGTGAAGGGTGAGTGTCAGGAGGACAGAGCCAGGCTCTTCTCAGTGACGTTCAATGACAGGACAAGGAGAAGTGGGTGCAAGCTGGAACATAGGGTGTTCCACAAAAACGTTAGAAAACTTTTTCACTATGAGAGTGATGAAGCACTGGAACAGGCTGCCTAGAGAGGCTATGGAGTCTCCTTCTCTGGAGATGTTCAGAGCCCAACTGGACATGTTCCTGTGTGACCCACTGTAGGTGATCCTGCTCTGGCAGAGGTGTTGGACTAGATGATCTTTCGAGGTCCCTTCCAACCCCTGATATTCTGTGATTCTGTATCAGTGAAATTGCCATTTACACAGAGTGGAAGCTGCCTAAGGAAAGGTCGGGCTCCTTCCAGCCCTGTGCAGCGAGCACACCGTGTCTCCTCTGTTTGTGTCCTGAACTTCCCCGGAGCGCTGTGCCTTCTGCCCCGGGTGTTCTGGTGCTGCAGAACTGGGCAGGGTATTGCTGAGGGGAGGGGAGCTGAGAGGACAGCATCAAGTTGGGGCTCACTGACCCACTTCAATTTTTACTTTTTTTGCTATGTGTGCGTAATTAGGGAATAGTTTCACCTTGGTTGCTGAGCCTATTATTTCTTTCTAAGATAAGCCTTTAGTTGATAGGGAGAAGAATATCTGATAAAAAGGTTAGAAATGCCCCTACTTGTAGGCTGTGTCTCCTGCCATATAGGTATGCATTAAAACAGAGGCTCTTTCACTTATTTTGGTATCTCTTGCTGTGTCTCAAAAGTGTGCACATTTGCTTACACTCAAATACTTTCTCTTTTCTCTAAGGTGGAAGATTGCCATGTTTTAAGATATGTTTCAAAGGAAGAGTCGGGTGGAAAAACATCTAAGCTACTTGTTGGAGGCAAAAATGCATCTCCTTTTTCTGTAAGTGAGCCAGTTGGAGGGGTTTGTTAGAAGGGTTGTTTCTGTTGTGGCTCAAGTGCAAAAGCAGCAGAGGTGGCTTTCTCTAACCGATTCATTAGCAGGTGTACATGCTTTGGAACTGGTCTTTTGTCACATTAACTGTAGCTAGTAGTGATCCTTGGTTAAGAGAGGATCAAGGAGAACTTTGGGAAAGCTTTGACTGTTGGTTCTGCAGAAGGACTGTGGTTTGGGCAGTTGTGCTGTGTTTGACTTAGGAAAGGTTTTAAAAAAACAAACCTTTGATGACTATGCAGATTATGTCAGTTGGTGATTCTGGCTCTTTAAGGACATCTGTTTCCCACTTTCAAACAGAAGCTTGTCCCAGAGGCTCAAAACTCATCTGTGGACTTGTTTTTGCTTTAGTGGTGAGGGAAGAAGGAGCTTTTTGCATTTGATGGGTCTGTTGGCTTTTATAGTGTGTTCTACTAATTTTCAACAGACTTATTTTTTTAAGGTATCTTTCTCTTATTCAGTGGGTTTATGCCAGGTTTTACCATCATTTCGTGGGGTCCTGTCGCTTTAGTCTCTTTCCACTTATGTTTTTTCCTGGAGAAATTACATCTGCGTTTTCCTATAACCTTGGTTTAAGATGGGCAAGCATCATGTGAATATAACTTTGAAGTTGTATTATGCACATTAGACTCCTTACAGTTGGTCTTTTCATAAAGGTGATGTTACCAGTGATTCAGTATGTTGTCAGAGTAAAAATGTGAAGAAGCCAGGAGATAAATAAAAAATTTGTATTTAAATAGGTCTTGTTAACTCAGAAAATTTCTTTGAAGCCAGACTTCCTAAAAAGTCAACTCCAGGGGTTTTTTTTCAGTTTAAGTTATGTGAGATAACTTTTTCCACATTAGCTCCTAATAATTTGGTTCAACTTGGACTCATTTTAATAAATAAATTAATTTGATATCCTTAGACCAATCTGTGGTGAGGACCTGGACCGAGACAGAGCTCTAATTGTTGTTGTTCAGATAGTTGTATAAACTACTTAATTTCTAAGACAGAAATTGGTGTGCTGATTCTGAAACAATTTTATTGTTAAGGCACTGAGGAGCGATGTCTTTCTGTAGTTTAGCTGCAGGCTGGAATTGTTGCTCTCCTATGTTTGTCAGTCCTCTTCTGTGTTGCTCTTCTCTCTCAAGTGTCTGGCAGTGAGACTTAAAAGACAGCTGAATGATCCTGTATTGCAGTAGCATAAGCAGTTTATCTTCTGTTAATTCCTCTTAGGAACATGTGTCTTGCTCGGATTCCTTGCAGCTATTGATTTTTAATGAACTCAATCTAGTGATTCTCTCAGTAATTTCACCAATGAGGAGCTTCATGTATTTCTTTTGTGTGTCAAATTGCTTAAGACATAAGGGGTATTGCATTTTTATTGAGATTTTTTTTTTTTCCCTTTTAGCTTGATGTATGTCAGTTTGTTACAAGTGAAGAGATTTTTCTTTTTTTATGCAAAATTCTTCTCAGAAGTATAATTCTGTCAGTATTCTAACAATTTTTTTTGTCAGAAATGTTTTCTAGGCTTCCCTTAAGGGAGGGCACATTGGTCATTTTCCTGTAATACTGGAAGAAGTTGCTGCTATTTGCAAAAAGAACATCTGCAAATTTGTTCCAGGTTGTTCCCTCCAGCGTTCCTTTTTAGGAGGGCTCTGTACAGGCTGTGGCCTCTAGTTTTAGGTATTCCATATGATACTGTAATTCAATACATTTGTCCTCCATTGATGCCTACAATTTTTTTAGGGGGGATTTTGCATTTAGTTGATATTTGTTTTTTTTTTAAAAAAAAGGGTATTTTAAGTGTTTTGTACTATGAACTTAAGAAATCACTCAGAAAACCCCAAACAGCCTTTTAAGTCTCAAAGACTTTGTATTCACGCCTCCTCAAGAAAGGATGGATTCATAAAGTTGAAATTTCTATTTTTGTGGCAGAGATCATCATGTTGCTCCTTGTTCTTTACAAAAACGTGGGGTTTTTTAAAGCAAAAAGGCAGCATGCACATTTTCAAAATAAACAAGGTAGTGATTTAAAAGTTACTGATGTTTTTCTGTCTCGAAATGCACAAAATTGTTTTGGAGTGAGAGAGAAATGCGTGGAACTTTAGAGAAGTGAACCTCAGATGTGACTGCCCAGGTGTGATCATGTTGTCAAATGATTAAATTGCTTTCTAGAAGTGATCTGAACAAAAACCAGCTGCACTGCTTTTTCCCTATGGCCTCAGCTCCCCTGCATCCCGGCTTCCAGTGCTTAGTATTGTCTCGGGGGGCAGCTGTGTTCTTGTCTTGTTTAAAATGCCTGAGAATAATTCTAAGTACTTTCACCTTTGTTAGGCTCCTCTCACAGGAAGAGCCCTTTAGAAAGTCAGAAGTGGTTTGACATGGAGGGTACTTGGTAGTTCTTAAACATACATGAATCATAACCGTGGCTTTCTTCATTTTTCTTTGTTGTCCAGAGACTCCAAATTATTTTCTGTGGGAAGTTAAGTGTTTCTAGAAGCTTCTGCGAGACCAGGCTTTGTTTCTATGGTTTTGTTAGCGAAGTGGAATAAATTGTATTTGTGGTAGTGTGGAAGTAAGTTATTAGAAGTTCTAAAAATGAGAAAATGCTTTAAAATTACTACAAAACCCTTTGGAAGTCATGGGAAAGCAGTAATATACTTTATTTACTTTCTAAATGATTGTTTTATCTCTGAAATCTTCATATATCTCTTCTTTATGTGATGTAGCTGTAGGGTGAATAGTTGACAGAAAACGCAGGCACAGTTTTCAATTTTCTGTGGAGTTAAAATTCTGGTCTCCAAATACAAGTGTAGTACGATGCATCTGTTTCTCTGAGTGGTGTTGACAATCTGTAATCGCTTTCTCTTTTAGGTTGATCATTGAGTATTTTAAGATCGCCTCTATTTTTTTTTTTTTATGGTTGCTCTTTGTTGCAGAAATCAGAGTCTACAATGGAAATTTTTAATGAAGCTGGAGTACCAAGGAAGCAGAAAGTTACGACATTCAATGTAACAGACGATGCCTTAATTAAACCAGGTAAGGTTTTTGAGCTACTGCATATTGTGTCTGTAATTGTGTAACACCTGCTGCTTGTAGACCTAAACCAAATTACAACATGTATTTCATTTTTGTTTTATGTGGGAATTGTTGAAGTATTTCTTTGTTCCTTAAGCATAAACTTTTTTTTTCTTGGGGAAAACTAGAAAAAGGGCTTTACAGGTGATAGGAAGTAGGAGGTCTCTTTTTTTCCTGGATACTGTGATTCCATTGATTAGAAAATAAATCTGATCCAAACTAGCTAATATGAACATTGAGTTAAGAAATAAGTGTCTGTAGGCTTGACTCACTTGTTGGGAATAAATATGAATGTATTTACAGGAAGTTCTCTGATTATTGGTATGAGATTGGCATCAAGAATTTTGTGGTAGTTTCTCAGGACCCTAAGCTAGCAGCTTGAGGTTTGTTTCTTCTTGCTCCATTCAGAAGTAGGACTGATGGACAGCATATATGGCAATTTCCTGACATCTTGCAAAGTACAACACAGTAAAACATACTATTTACATATAACAAACATTCTCACTAAAATTCAGTAGTAAGAGTTTGGAGGTTTAATGAAAAACTTTGTTCTCAAGGTTTTATTACCTAGTGTATTTAAATTTGTTTTATGATAGTTAGTAGGTACTTGCCCAAGAATTACGTTGGGTAGCAAATTCTTTAATTCTTTATTGAAGACTTGCAATTCTGCTTTATAAACTGATTTTGCTGTGTATTTTGCATGTAACATCCTTCATATGTTTGATTTTCTGCTGGTTGGCAGCATCTTATCCCAGGTATGTGTGGATCACATACATAGAAAAAATGAAATAATATGAGGATTTTTATGCTGGAGACTTAAGAGAAGTTTACAGCATTTAGTTTTGCACTGTTTGTTTATTCTGAGTGTGAATCAATGAAGTAATTTAGGCTTTGTCTCTTTTGGTGTCTGAAGTGCAACATACCTGAGTAAAGCCCTGCCCTTTGCCCAGTGCTGGGTTAGGAACTGAGAAGTGTGCCTAAGTAGTAACTACAAAACATCTGTTTTAGTCAGTTAAGTTTATAAAGAACAGAAACTGTGTGAATAAAAACAAAGGTGTTTTGCCTGTGTCTGTGACCTGCCCTGGAAGGGGATGGCAGGTGGTGGTTTGAGGATTTCCCTGTGTAGCTGAACGCAATCTCTCCTCTTGTGTTGCAGGTACTCCTCTGTATGCTGCTCACTTCCGCCCAGGGCAGTTTGTGGATGTTACTGCAAAAACGTAGGTTCCTCGTGATTTCATGTGCGCAGTTCATCTTTCTGACGGTCTAGTTGAATATTTTTCCCTTCTACTTTGGCTTGAACTTGTGGCTTGTGAAAGCTTGTTGCAAGGGTTAGTGGTGGGAAGTAGAAGTGTGTTCTGCCATTGGGTCAAAAATGTCAAATTATCTTTTCTTGCTGAGGCTTACTTTTGATTTACTTTTGATTTTGAATGCAGCAGCTAAACAAATTATACTCTTGGGGCTTTGGTTCTGCACATGTTGTCAGTCACGCATCTACGATAAGCACGGAAGGGCTTGGCAAAGAGCTTGAGAAAGAGACACTCAAGCTTGGTGTGGACAAAGAGGTTTGTGATGCAGATTCTGTGATCTGCAGAAGTGGGGAATAAACGCTGAGAGGCACCACTTCCCAGGAAGACTGCTAAATTTTGATTTGGTGAAGAGATGTGAAGAGAGATAAATTACGTGCCTCAAAAGAAAAGCAAAAATGCAGGACAACATAGCTGTCAGATTCTGGTTTGTGTTTTCTCTCATTCCAGCTTATGTCCTTGCCAGCAATCGCTAATGATATTTTTGCTTTAACATGGGAGGAATGATTTCCTCTCAGACCACTGCGAATGCCAAATGAGAGCTGAAGCGGTAGAGGGTGTCAAATGAAAAAGTGACGTCTCTTGCAACAAAGTCTGGTCATGCTTCCTCTGCTCTGTCTGGGATTTTCCACTGCCAAGAACAGAGAACTCCCATCTCCTTATTTCAGTGAAGTGTATCTGGGTTTTCTTGAGATACACAGGTCATGTTTTCTGTTGGGTGTGTTGGGTTTTTTTGTGCAACAGATATAAATACCCAATGGACCCTGTTGAAACATACTCTGTTGCCTCACGTATGTGTAATGCTTACAAAGGTCTAATATTATTCCCAGGGCTTTGTGTCAATGGGGAAGCTGATGGTGTTGGTACAGCTGAGTAGTCAATTCTAATATAGCTACACCTGTGAGGACGCTCCACTGAGAAAAGGAGCTTGAGGCATTGACTGAAATTAGTATTTTCTGTGTCAAATTGCTTAGATCTGGCACACTACTCATTTGGCTTCTGAATTGCGTTCAGGGGATAACCCATGAGAGGCAATAGCTGGTTTGCAAAGCACAGAGTCATTAGGAATGCAGACATTCTGTGTAGGTTCAGGGTTTTCTTGATGCAGAAAAGCTTTGTTTTCCTTCGAAGTAGTTTAAAAACTAGGAAAGTTGTTTTGATTTTTTTGGGGGGGGCAGTGGAAAAGATACAGGTGAGCAGCCACAGGGTTTTGATTTGTATCTTGCTGTATATATTTGAAAACACCAGTAAGGTAAAAATAGACTGTGTTCTTGGTTGTGTTCAGTGAATCCATTGTATATTTTAGTTCAGTATTTCTAATCTGTTTTGTCCAGGTACTTGTATGACTCCATTTCAGAAATTAGCTTTTTGTTTGTAATGTTGATTTTGGTAGCATAATACGCTACAGGTGAAGGAAAAGTTCTTCATCTAAAGGGAAATATCAGATATATTTTTGTTTATGTATTTTCCATCAGTATGATTCAGAAATTGTTCCAGTCTTTCTGTATTCAGGGGTCTTTGAACCTTTTCCATGACTTACTGGCATTATGACTTCTACTTTTAGTGTTTCTTTTTAATTGCCACTTCCCCGAAATGCTGCATTTATTATGCTTCCTTAACCTTTGGGAAAGAATGAAATTATTTCAATTTTAGGGAGGTTGGGGGCCTTTTACTTAATTCCATGCAATTTCATCCTGTGTTGCTTAATCTCCTGTGGGTGGGGCTTGTTTTTTATTTTCTGGAACTGGATTGTATTTTTGGAGTTATTGGACCTCTAAGTTCACAGTGTTACGGTGATGATTCTGGTGTGTTACTGGTTTGTTGAAGCTTCACTAGGGTCATGGTGTAATCCAAGCCTGAAAGTAGACTCTACAATCATCTGAAAATATTTGGCAAAGTAGTTTGAATCCTTTTTCTCTACAGGGTTTAAATAATTGTCTTTTAAATTAGCCAAATTTGAAGAATTAGCAGCAAATAAAATCACTGCTTGTTAGAGTGCTTAATTTCAGTATCTCAGATGCACAACTTGATTCTCTCGGAGTGCGATCTCAATGCTAATTCTGTTTTAACATTTGGTCCTGGATTAAGATTCTGCTTTGACAAACTTTAATGTTTTTTTGGAAATATATGAAATTGTCAATACTGTGCCTATTGAGTGGTTTTGTAGTTAGATCTCTTTTTATGCTTGTTTGAGTTTGTTCCAACTTGAATTGTATTTTGCTTCTTTTTAAAGACTTCACAGATTTTAATGAACAAGAAGTAGCGAGATGTCAGTAGTTAGGACTTTTGATAGAGAAATCAGGGATTCTTTTGATGCATTCTTAAATGAAACTGTGCTGCAGATTGTTGAAAAGCAGCTCCAGGAGAGGTACATGTTTGGTTACTATCTTTTACATGTATGTTGGCCTGACTGAAATTCTTGGTTGTTGCTGCAAACCTTAAGTGACTAACCCAGGTTTATTTCTTAAATTTTTTTTTTTTCTTTGCAGAGTCGGTAAGGGATTTCAGGGCGTCATGAAAAGGTGGGGATTTAAAGGTCAGCCTGCCAGCCATGGCCAGACAAAAACCCACAGGCGTCCTGGAGCAATATCTACCAATGTGAGCATTCTTATTCCCTCTTCAGACACCCTTCAGTATCTTTAGAACTACTTGCTAATAATCACCAATTCCACAGTAGCTAGCTGCTACTACCGTCTACTGTGTGCTAGCAGAGAGTCCCCACTGCCTCAGAGGCAGCTCAGAAACCTGTCTTAATGGGTGATGAGCATAGCTGCTCTCCTACACCTTGTTTTTTGAATATTCTATATTGCTGATAAGTGAGCAAACATGTTTTAACTGAGCTAATTGTAGTATTTGGTCGTATAGCTGAGAGAAATAGTCTTAATGACTATTTCTTAATGACCCCGGAATCTTTTGTTGCAGCATTTATAGATTGGAGAGGATTTACCTGTTGCTTTATACTGCAGGTACTGTACTGTCCTTTGGAACCTTAGTTACTTTTATTGCCTCAGCTGGCTTGTGTAGCTGCTTAACAAGCTCTTAGATTCCCAAAATAGTCTGGCTTCCAAGCATTTATAAGCAGAGTACAGAGCACTACTTCTAAGTTTTGAACTATAAATAATGTAATATTAGCTTAAAAGCTCTTTGAAACAGATTCATCTAAAACTTCATCCCTGTAAAGTTTGCACAGTGTTTAGGCTGAACTAAGAGGGATTTTTGCAAACTGGCTTCATTGCACAGAATTAAGACTGAGTCACAGTACTTAACATGAATTGTCTGTAGTTTTCTTACAGAAATTAAAATAATTTTAAAGGGATTAATAATGTTTAAGAGAATAGTAAAAGCAAAAAGGCACCAGGCAATGAAGTTAGAGTAATTGAGACTGTAAGGGCATAAGGTACTGATTTATAGTCCTTCACTTCAGCTGGAAAATAAATGGCACCATTTTCTCTGAAGACTAAAGAACGTAAATATTTGAACGTACAACAGTATGGTTTAGCAGATGGTATTCATTACAAAATAACCTCTTTTTGCTTTAAATTGGAATTTCTGAAGGAGTGCTGGATGTAATTTCACAAAGCACGTAGGATGGGAAATACCTATTTCCAGTACTATGAGGAAAAAGAAGGAAGGTGAAAGGATGCAACAGGGGAAAAACAATGCCTCAGGCTTTTTTTTTCCTGTCTGTTGTTGACCACCTCAGATATTTTTGTAATCCTGCATTGTTCAGTACAGAGTTCTCTCCCTGGAACTTCATTGCAGCTGATTTCCTAAAATCAGGATTTTCACACAAATTGGGGGGGTGGAGAAAAAAATCAAAAACAACAAAACACATTATTAATGAATAAGAGTAGTGCAGAAAGTTGAGGTGAATCCCTTGATCCTGCAACAAAATGTAATTATTGCATTTATTCTTGTCTTTTCTTTTCCACCTCTGTTCTCCAGGTTATACAAAGCCAAACAAAAATGAGGTACAGAAGCTAAGCAGTAGCAGGGAATGTAATTAAAAATTCTGTTCTCAAATACATACTTGAAAAAAAATATCTGGCTTACATCAGTGTAAAATTCATGGACTGAGGAGAGGGGAGAAGCTGTGGTATACCTTTGTGTTGCCAGACTGCCAGGATGGGAGGCTCTGTAGGTCTCTGGTAGCATCCATAAGTAGTTTAGGCAAGTTTCCAGTTGCTGCTGCCTTTGATGTAGGCAAGAGTCTTGTGTTGACAGGTTTGGTGGGAGGGAAAAGTTTTCTTGGAAGTTCATGAAACTAAGGTACGTTCTGAGTGCCTTAGTTCTGGGCTCGCTCTCTTCAGTATGGGCTCGCTCTCTCTTCAGTATGATAGTTCTAAAATCAACCAGTGTGTTTTCTATTGGTGCTCCTCTTGAGTTTGTAAGTGTACTTCTGGCAGTTACACAATTTAATTTTTTTGTCCTGTTTTTGTCTAGAAAGCTGCCAAAGTTTATCGTGGAAAGAAAATGCCTGGTAAAATGGGTAACATCTATCGGACATCCTTTGGGCTGAAGGTGAGTTCTGACTATGCTGGGATGTGCCAGGGAGGGGGGTGCTTGGTGGTGCAGCCCCATGTTATGTGTCCAGTTCATCAGTATGTGCTGTGCCAGGCTGCTGCTTGTCATCCTGGGAATAGTCTTTAGAATGAGCTCAGTGTCTGTGTTTCTCTGTCTCCTAGGTGTGGAGGATCAACACAAAGCACAACATCATTTATGTCAATGGCTCTGTTCCAGGACACAAAAATTGCCTGGTGAAGGTACGTTTGCCAGCGTCAGCTTGCTGGTGCTCTCTGCAGCTCTCTGCCTACAAAAGGAAAACCAGGGGTTGAATGCAATCTTCAGCTCTTGAGTCTCAGCTTGCACTTCTGGATCACTTTTGTGGAAGGGAGTCATTAGTAGGGGCAGCTCATTCCAGTTCGTTGAGCTGGTGTTCAAGGGCTGGGTTTTTTTGATATTTTTTTTTTTTTCCCCTTCCATGAGCTTTATGAATTGCATACATAACTTTTTTCCCTTTATATTTTTAAATACATATATAGAGAGTAGAGAAAGCTTTAACTAGGAAAGCATGCAGAGCTATAATGGTTGGCATGTGTTCCCTAATTTCTGGTTTTTATTTCTCCATTTAATCTTGCTGCACTCCTCTGTGGTAGCTTTAGTCTTTTGCCTTTTCTCCAGAGTGTTTTCTTGTTTGCATAAAGACTTTGGCTTCCCATACATTATTGTATATTTGTTTGGATCAGTAGTTGGGGAGAGGAATTATCGGATATTAGCTTTCCTAATTACTGTTCATTCCACTAAATACCTGCCTACAATTAGCGCGCCCTGATGCTTAGGGGATTTGGATCCATCAGTCTTTGAGCTCAATAAGTGGAATATCACATAATGCTTCTCTTTGCATTTGTGTTCAGTGCCCACTCTGTGTTGCCTGGTAACCATTACAACCACAGTGCACCTTAAAGCATGTAGGGTTTTTTTAATACGTTCTGTATTTTTGGAAACGTAGTGTATCAGTGCTGTATCCAGACAGAGATGAAGCACTTAGCGGTTTCTCAAGTTTCATTTTCAGCAGAATAAAAGTGCAGAATACTAGGATTGATGTTTTTCCTGGTTTAATTAGAAAACAGTTTTCATTTGATACTGCACAGTGAAGCATGCAGGTAAATAACTGACATGAGTAATGTTTCTAGCCAACTGGAAAACTAATCAAAAAAGCTTATTCTAGCATGGAGTTCTTTCTCAATGACAAGGCCTAATAATATTAAGGAACTCTAGCAGTGCATTAGGATGTATGGTTTTTTTCTGTTACAATAGTAAGCAGTGCAGAATAAGCATTTATAAATTAGTCTCTGGTGTTGATCCTCTAGAAAAAAAAATCTTGATTTCTCTCTCAAGACTACTAAAGAGTTCTCTCTTTTGTCATTCAGAGAGAAGCATGAGGTTAATTTCCTTTTTAGGTAGATGCTTTATAATGGAGAGTGTACTGTAAGGTGATATGTTATAATTCAGGTGTTAGAGTTTTATCTTTGTTAGTGGTTTATACGTGTCTTAATTTTAAAGCACCTGTTTTTGTTAGTACATTCAATGTTGATGTCTTCGCAGTGAAAGCAGAAATTCAGGCAAAGTTTGTAGCCCACAGGAGTTGTTTAGCAAACAGGATACTGAACTGGCTTTTTTCTGTGCTAGAATTATGCAATTGCTTTAGTGTAGTACTCTGCTTGAGGTAATAAATATAAACTCTGTCTTCCTGTGGGTTTTCAGATTGTGGGGGTTCGTTTTTTTTTCTGAGAAGTCTGTACTTGTTTTCATCCTTCTTTAGTATCGCACTTGCCACTTTCACTGTCTGTGTTTCTGACTGCTGATGCCTGAGCTAGCTATGCTCGGCTCAGATGGAGCACACACAAAACAGTTTTTCAGAAGCTGAAGTTTAAGTCAAATTTACTGCACACTTCATCTACAGGAATCCTAATGGACTTGGGGAAAGGCTCATGTAATAACAGATATTAATCTGGTAAATACAGTGCTGTCAGAACAGACCTTCAGTGGGCATTAAATTCATAGAATCATAGAACAATTTGGGTTGGAAGGGATCTCAGAGATCATCTAGTTCCAACCCCCCTGTTGTGGCAGAGACATCTCCCACTAGGTCAGGTTGCTCAATGCTCCACCCAGCCTGGCCTTGAACACTTCCAGGGATGGAACATCCACAGCCTCCCTGGGTGACCTGTTCCAGGGCCTCATCACCTTCAGGGTAAAGATCTTCTTCCTTATATCCGGTCTAAACCTGCGCTCTTCCAGCTTCCACCCATTACCCCTTGCCCTGTCACCACAGGCCCTTGTAAAAAGTCCCTCCTCAGCCTTCTTGTAGGCCTCCTTCGGGTACCGGAAGGCCTCTTTAAGGTCTCCCTGGAGCCTTCTCTTTTCCAGGCTGAACAAGCCTGACTATCAGCCTGTTCTCACAAGAGAGGTGCTCAAGCCCTCTGACCATCTTGGTAGCCCTCCTAGACTTGCTCCAACAGCTCCATGGTTTTTTGTGTTGGGGGTTCCAGAGCTGGACGCAGTATTTCAGGTGGGATCTCACAAGGGCAGAATCGCCTCCCTCGACCTGCTGGTCACACATCTCTTGATGCATCCCAGGACACAGATGGCCTTCTGGGCTGCAAGCACACACTGGTGCCTCATATCCAGTTTTTCATTAACTGGTACCCCCCCCAGGACGCCCCTCAACCCCCTCATTGCCCAGCCTGTACCTGTGCTTGGGATTGCCTTGACCGAGATGCAGGACCTTACACTTGGCCGTGTTGAACGTCATGAGGTTGGCCTGGGCCCACTTCTCAAGCCTGTCAAGGTCCCTCTGGATGGCATCCCTTCCCTCCAGCGTGTCGACCGCACCACACAACTTTGTCCTTGGCAAACTTGCCGCGGGTGCACTCGATGCTACTGTCCATATTGCTGACAAAGATGTTAAATAGGGATCAGTACTGGGACTGGTACTGAGAGGCACCACTTGTCACTGGTCTCCACTTGGACGGCCATTGACCACAGCTCTTTGAGTGTGATCTTCCAGCCAGTTCCTTGCCCACCGAGTGGTCCATCTGTCAAATCCATGTCTTTCCAACTTGGAGACCAGGATGTGGGACAGTGTCGGAGGCCTTGCACAAGTCCAGGTAGATGACATCAGTTGCTCTTCCCTTGCCAATTGATTCTGTTACTCCATCATAAAATACCATCAGATGCATCAGGCAGGATTTTCCCTTGGTGAAGCCATGTTGGTTGCCACCAATCACCTCCACATTTTCCATGTGCCATAGCAGAGCCTTCAGAAGGATCTGCTCCATGATCTTGCCAGCACAGGGGTGAGACTGACTCGCCTGTAGTTGCCTGTGTCTTCATTTTTTCCCTTTTTGAAAATGGGGGTGATGTTTCCCCTTTTCTAGTCACTGGGCACTTTACCAGACTGCCATGCAC